ATGTTGTCATGAAGTATTTCATTTGTGAACTGTAGTTTGAAGCTATAAATGGCAGGTATCAATCTTTTAGCTGCCACAGAACCTAAATCTAGACTTCCCTCCCTAAACTTCTCCATCTCTTTCTATACCCTTAAGACACTATTTAATATCTATCCGCTTGGCCAAGCTTTTGATCATCTGCCCTAACTTCTCGTTTGACCCACAGTCTAATTTTGTTTGAGTAAACATTAATGAAGCACCTTGGGATGTTTTCCCATGTTAAAGATTCTGTATGAATAAAGGCTCTGTTATTATCAATGCCACCAATAGGTGGTCAATGACTGGAGTCCTGAGAAGGAGTCTGAAGTGGAAGGCCATGCAGTGTGACTGGGGGCAAATGTGGGTGCACTGGCAAAGGGTGTGGACAGAAGAAGTGTAGTTCAAGGGGTGTAGCTAGAGTGGGGGTGAAAGGGTTGAGGGATGGGACCAACAGGCAGGTGGAGGAGGAACAGCCAGCAATGGGGGCTTGAGGGGGTGGATACAAACACCAGCTGGAGTTGGGAGGAGAGGGAAGGATGACCAGAAATGGTGCGAGCGGCCAACAGTAAGCAGGGAAGCAGCGCCCCTCCAACCCACATTCAGCTCCAAGGCCAATGGGATGGTTAGGGATGGGGCAACCAGAAGGTTCTGTTGTAACATCATTCTCAACATGTCCACATGTGATGGCAACTGGCGGCCATCTTTGACGGTCACCTTGCATTGGCAGCATGCACTCTGGCACATAGAATCTGTTGCCTTTGAAAGATTCAGGAACTCATCACCAAAAAACAATGCTGCAGGCATCTGTTAGCCTTGGAAAATACTGTAACAGGACTTGCAGCAGCAGGTGGTGACAGTGACGGAGTGCAGTGTTGTTTCAGGTAGCCACTCCATCACAATTCCAACACCTCTTTAGGAGTGACAAAGATGATTGATGACAGCAGAGCAGACAACGTTGCCTGTATGGACTTCAGCAAGGCTTTCGATAAGGTTCCACCAGGTAGACTGGTTAGCAAGATTAGATCACGTGGAATCCAGGGAGAGCTAGCCATCTGGATCCAAAATTGGCTCGCAGGTAGGAGACAGACAGTGATGGTGGAGGGCTGTTTTTTGGACTGGAGGCCTGTGACCAACAGTGTGCCGCAAGTATTGGTTCTGGGTCCACCGCTTTTTGTCGTTTAACTAAATGATTTGGATGTGAATATAGGAGGAATGGTTCGTAAGTTTGCAGATGACACCAAAATTGGTGGTGTAGTGGACAGCAAAGAAGATTACCTCAGAGTACAATGAGACCTTGATCAATAGGCCGAGGAGTGGCATATAGAGTTTAATTTCGATAAATTTGAGGTGTTGCATTTTGGAAAGGCAAATCAGGGCAGGACTTATACACTTAATGGTAAAGTCCTGGGGAGTGTTGCCGTACAGAGACCTAGGGGTGTAGGTGCATAGTTCCTTGAAGGTGAAGTGGCGGGGAGACAGGATGGTGAAGAAGGTGTTTGGTACACTTGCCTTTATTGGTCAGTGCATTGACTATAGATGTTGGGATGAAATGTTGTTGCTGTCCAGGACATTGGTTAGGCCACTTTTGTAATATTGCATTCAGTTCGGATCTCCCTACTATATGAAAGATGGTGTTAAACTTAAAAGGGTTCAGAAAAGATTTACAAGGATGTTGCTGGGGTTTGAGGGTTTGAACTGTAGGGAGAGGCTGAATAGGCTGGGGCTATTTTCCCTGGAGCGTCGGAGACTGAGGGGTGACCTCGTAGAGGTTTATAAAGTCATGAGGGGCATTGATCAGGTGAATAGCCAAGGTCTTTTCCCCAGGGTAGGGGAGGCCAAAACTTGAAGGCATAGGTTTAAGGTGAGAGGGGAAAGATTTAAAAGGGACCTAAGGGGAAACATTTTCAAGCAAAGTGTGTTGTGTATATGGGATGAGCTGCCAGAGGAAGTGATGAAGGCTGGTACAATAACAATATTTAAAAGGCATCTGGCTGGGTACATGAATAAGAAGATCTTAGAGGGATATGGGCCAAATGCAGGCAAATGGGACTAGATTCATTTAGGATATCTGGTCGGCAGAGACAAGTTGGACCGAAGGGTCTGTTTCTGTTCTGTACATCTCTATGACTCTATGACCTAATGTATCACTGGAGTGGGATTGGCCATGAAATTCCTGTGGAGATGCCTCAGCAAGAAATTGATCAATGCTTGCTGTGTAGCAATTCATTTTACCAGTGTTTTTAAACTGAGATCCACTCTAACAATCACCTATCCCTCACCCATCAGTAGCTTCTTTCCTGGTCTTTTGAGTCCATTTTTTCACCATGATCCTGATAATGTGCTCCCACACTTCAAGGAACAATTGAGGCTGATTATACTTTGCAGAACCTTTCTGCAGGAGTGGTATCTTTGTTAGGCAGAGGCCTTATGGGGAGAGAAAGAGAGAGAGAGGCCAACATACAAACAGAGACAAAAGATTCTTCAACCACAATGTGTACTATAGGATTAATCCAATCTAAACACTCTCTCTTCCCAGTTTTAGTTCTCTTAATGTTTGTGGAGATCTGAATAGAATTAGAATTAGATTTATCGTCTTGTGTCATCAAAAATAGGAATACAGGAATACAACACCATCTTGATTACAAAACCATAATAAAAAAACCAAAAAAAATTAAAGAAAGAACAGCAGAAATAAGAGAATAAGGGCAAAAAGGGAAGAAAGAAAAGTCCAGATCTTGGCCTGGAGTCTCTGATGCCAGTAGAATAAAGAAACCTGCCTCATGACTTTGGGCTGTTCGTGTACTTACGTTGCCTTTCAAGAAAGATTTGGATATAGCACTTGGGGCTAAAGGGATCAAAGGATATGGGAAAACAGGAACAGACTATTGAGTTGGATGACCAGCCATAATCATAATGACTGACAAAGCAGGCTCGAAGGGCCAATTGGTCAATCCTACTCCTGTCTTCTATATTACTATGTTCACTTTACCATAATAAACATTTGCATGGACAGTTTCAGTGTTAAAAAGGTATATAAAGGTATGACAACTTTCTAATTTTCTAATTGTATCTGATTACTTCTGACATCTTATATTCCCTTGTACCTTTGAGCTGAGGCAGGCCAGTGAATCGTGGCTCAGTTGGAGTAGTCGAGAGATAGGCTGAGATAGATTCTTGATCAGTTGGGGAATCAAGGGTTAAGGGGAACAGGCAGGAAAGAGAACATGAGGAATGTTGGATCATCCTATTAGACGAAGGAGCAGGCTCAAGGGGCTGAATGGCCTACTCTTCCTATTTCTTATGGTCTTAAGAAGCTTGGGGTGTTCAAACTTCATTCCAAAGACCTGAGTAAAAAAATGTAAACTAAATAACCAAGGAATGGTGGATGCTGGATGAAACAACTCTACGAAGGCCAGTATCCCATCACCAAGTCACCTTTTATTTACATGCACATAGTACATAGTACATGACACTGACACAGTTAGCTCAGAGCCAGCTCCAAGAGTGAGCAGAACCCCTGACACTCCTGTTTATACCTGTCAGCCAGGGGTCTCTGATTGGCCCGGTTTAACAACCCCAGTTAGGGAACTCATATTCTATGAGATTCACCCTGGCTGACCTCATTCCATTCTCTGTGCTGGAATTCAGAAACAAAAACAGAATTTACTAGAAAAACTCAGCAGGTCTGGCAGCATCTGTGGAAGGAATTCAAAGTTAACGTTTCGGGTCCAATGACCCTTCCGCAGAACAGGGTCTACAAAATTTCTGCTTGGGGACCCTGCAGCCTTCCAGACTCAATATTGAGTTCAATAACTTTAGGGCTTGAGCTTTCCCATGTCCTTAGCCCTACACCACACACCAGGCCTTGTTATCATACAGTCTCCTATTACACACCATCCGTTGTTAGTCACTAACAGTCCCCATTAATAGCTATTTGCCTTTCTAACCAGATCGTTATACCCATCTATTGTTTAGTCCTTACCTCCTCCTCCCACCCTATCTTCTGCATATAAACCAACAATTTCGTACCTACCTTCAGTTCTGAGGCAGGATTACTTGACCCAAAACGTTAACACTGATTTCTCTCCACAGATACTGCCAGGCCTACTGAGCTATTCCAGTAATTTCTGTTTTTGTCTCTACAAAAATATAGGATGACATGTAGTGAGCACTGAAGGGGCTTTTTGGAAGAGATACTGAAGTGAGGTCCCGCCTGTGCTCTCAGGTGAATGTAAAAGATGGTAATATGTTTGCAATAGTTGGTAAACTATATGATAAAAGTTGATAATATGTTGAATTGGGGTGAGGAAGGATATTCCCTGACTAGTCTATTTATCACTTAATCACTGAATAAAAACTCTGGTCACTATCATTCAGAGGTTTGTGGAATCTTGTTCTGCACAAACTGGCTGTCCTGTTTACAACAGTGGCTCCAATTAAGAAAAAAACACTTCAGGGGTTGTCAAGGAAGGTTACACAGACAGTTGAAATCTAATTCCATGTCTGTTTAAACTCTTCGGTCGGAAAGAACAGTAGATGATGTAAATTAGAAACAAAAACAAAATTGCTGGAAAAGCTCAGCAGATCTGGCAGCATCTGTGGCCAGAAATCAGAGTGAACGTTTCAGGTCGAGCGACCCTTCCTCAGGACAGATCACAAAGTATCTGGAATTCAAAAGCAACTCTTCCCAGAGGGTCCCGTGTTATTATAAAAGCAGCACTTCCTTTAAATAATAAAAGTAACACTGCAGCGAGGCGTAGCAAGCCTCCAGGAAGTCTCTTTGCCCCGCAGTAACATTTGGGGAGGAGCTGCCTGTTCGCTGTTGCCCCGCAGAAAGATGGCGGCCCTGGAAGATTACATCATCCGCCAGCCGGATTGACTGACGTCAGGCTCTTGCCATCTATGGGCAACAAGCGGGTGACGTGCGCGCGGTCTGTGTTTTTTATGAATGAAAGGCATCTGCGTGTGTGAGTATCATCTGACCCAGGAATTCCAGGAACTGAGTTGTTTTCATACAGGCAAAAGAGGGCAAGGGGGTTTGGAGACAAAACACTCGGCAGACCTTGCTCAGTGGAAGTGTGAGTAAGGAGGGAAGGGTAATGTTTTCAACAGGATTTTACTTTTGTCTCCTTAGTGTTTTATTTTGGGGAAATAAAACAGAATAAGTTTTGTTTGCTAGGAACAGTCAGTAACAGTGTTGTTGTTGAGTTGGGTTGGGTGATTTAGGCGCTGCATCACCATGAGTTGCAGTTCTACGAGCATGCACTTTTATGGTTGAGTTGAGAATCCAATCTGTCTCAATGTTGGTGTGTTTCAATTTTTTTTTTGCGGGGCTAGCTTTTAAATTTATCTCAGAGACTTAATGTTGGTTTGTATTTATTTCGCGGGGTGTAGATTTTATCTTCAATTATCTTTGCTTTTTTTTTTGGTCAAATTTTATACTGAACGTTATTTTCTTTCTCATTTGCTTTGTAGACTGAAACTGGACCTTTTCTCCGCTTGGATTTTTCTTTCGTTTTCTTCAAAACTTCGCTTCCCCCCCCCACCCCGAAGCCGTTCCTTTCTGAGTGAACTGAACGAGGGTGGAGGAATAAAGGAAGGAAAGTGTAAACACCTAAGCGTATCAGATTTGAACCTGAGAAAAGCCTAAAGAGGGTGAAAAGAAATCCAGACGGGGAAGCACAGCATTCCACAGGTAGATAAAAATGTAAATAATGCTTCTATTTTTTAAAAAAATGTTGATGATTTAACAAGTCAGCAATAAGATCGAATGGGGAGCTTTAAATGATCCATTTTAAGTAGGAAATTGAAAAGAGAAACATTTGTTGTAATGAAGCTCTGTTAAGTCTGCTTATATTTGTGGTAATTTCTGTCCATATGCTGTCCCCTACAAGTACCTTTCACCATCCAAGCATCTGTTTAATATTTAACCATGTGGTTCAGCAGCTATCTGGAAACCATTTCAGAACCTGAGTTATGTGGTTCCTAGTCATTTTTTATTTGGAACTAGTGAGGTATTTTCCGGATTCCAGTGTCATCGTGGGCTGGGACAATTGGCAGGGGCTGTGATGGCTTCTGTTAAAATGTCTGGACCTCTGGAGAATTTTTATATCGGCTGACAGATCTTGTGGATATCAATGGTTTAAGCAGAGCCCCATACCAGTTATGCAAACCTATTTTTTGTATTTTTTGGAAAAGAATGGAGAGGAACTGATACAAAGGTGGATCATTGATCACTGCTCTCAAGGCAAAAGAAAAATGACCTGATTATAGCTCCTGATCACTGTGTGTGTGTGTGTCTGTGTGTATGTATATATTTTATATGTATGTATGTATGTATGTGTGTGTGTGAGAGAGAGAGAGAGAGAGAGAGAGAGAGAGCTGTGGCTTAGTTGGTAGCACACTTGCTTGTGGCTCACCAGAGTTACTGGCTTAAACTGCACTCCAGGGCTCGAACAGCTGGCTGAACACTCCAGTCTAGGACTGAGGGAGTGCAGCACTGCTGGTGGTGTTACCTTTCGGATGCGATGTAAAACTGTAGCCCTGTCTGTGTGCTTTGGGTGGCACTGTTTTGAAGAACAGGCCCCCAGTCTTACGGCTAGAGTTGTGGCTAATACACACCTGCAACCAGCATCACACAAAAATGGGTCACCTGGTCAATATCATATTTTAATGTTTGGGGGTTTTCTGCACAATCTTTTCTCCTGCACCAACAATTTGGAAAGTTTTTTTTTTGTCAGGTTTTTTCCAAGATATTCATTCACTCGATATGGGTGTTGTTGGGTAGGTAAGTGTTTATTGCCCATTCCTAATTGCCCCTTGAGAAAGTGTTGGTGGCCTGAACCACTGCAGTCCACATGGGGTAGGGGCACCTACGGTTCTATTAGGGACACACGTACAGGATTTTGACCCAGTGACACTGAAGCAATAACATTGCTTGTAAGGCGGTGGTCAGGTATAGTCCTATATAATGCCTAGTCTTTTATATCTCTTTGCAAGGTAACTGTGAATCCATTGCCAGATTGTCTGAAAAGCCCATCTGGTTCACTAATGCCCTTTAGGGATGGAAACTGCCATCCTTACCTGGTTTGCCCTACATGTGACTCCAGACCCACAGTCATGTGGTTGACTCTTAACTGCCTTCTGGGCAATTAGGGATGGACAATAAATGCTCCCCAGCCAGTGACGCCCTCATCCCATGAATGAATAAAGGGAAAAAAAAGCCTGAAATTATCCATGTATATCCAAGTGAGAGAGTAGAATGAGGCTTTAACACAGATCCAAATAACCTAATGCTCAACTCCTCTCAAGGCTCTCTGCTTTGGGCAAGATGCCAAGAGATTTCCAGACACGTCAAATGATCTCAAGATTTGGAGCTTGAAGAGAGAGGAAAGGGGAGTTGAAGTGGAGCCAATGTGATATTTCCAAACCACCAAGGTTGTCCTCTACCAGTTGAGACTTCTCCTTCTGCAAGGAGTGGAGGCGTGGATCATGGCCTTGTCCCTGGGTGATCAGCAGACAGTGGGAGTAGAATGGTGTAATGACTGTACTTCTTCCTACACTAGGATGGAGCCAACCCTTCAAAAACAGAGCCACGCTGTGATAGGAAAAAAAAAAACCAACGGCTGAGGCGAGACTGAATTGTGGTGTTTTCAATCGTGGGTGGGGGGAGCGGTATGTTAAATCAGGCCATTGCATTGATTGAACGTGATGTAGCGGTAGTTGGGGGAACACGGATTGTTAACAGGTCAGATTGAGTCGAGATTTCCTCAAAAAAAAGTCAAAAATCCAAGAGAGTTACTAAAAAAAATTTTAAAAAATGAGAATATTCTGTACCCAGCAATTTGGTAGATTATGGAACTTAGAGTCATGGCGATGTATAGCTTGGAAATAGACCCTTCGGTCCAACTCGTCCATGCTGACCAGATATCCTAAATTAATCTCGTCCTGTTTGCCAGCATTTGGCCCATATCCCACTAAACCCTTTGTATTCATATACCCATCCAGATGCCTTTTTAATTGTTGTAATTGTACCAGCACTTTCTCTGGCAGCTCATTCCATAGACTTAGTCCCACAAGAGGATTCTGGGCTCTTTGAGCACAGAATCATTGAAGCACATGAGGGAGAAAGGGCTAGTTTTCAGTAGGATGGGAGGAGGCTTATGTGAAGCATTTGGAACTAATAGTAAGTTCCACTTTTTTTGAAAAAATGAGATACTACTTTAGCTTGGGAAGTCTTGATGTGGCCATGCAGTGTCAGACATTTAGTTACAGTTCTCCAAGGTCCATCTGTATGGTTGGCCTGGTAGGTTGAGTCAATGGTCTACCAAGCTAATAGAAACTTGAGAATGTATCTTTGAGTGGAAGGCAGGTTATTGGGAAGTGATTTGAAGGTGTGTGTGTGTGTGTTGGATACAGTGGACTGGCCCATAACTCCCTCTACGTAATGTAACTAGTACTTGCAGTATCTTCGTGTTCAGTCTGCACTGTAGCTCTTTGATCTGCTTGGACTTAGAGTCATACAGGACAGACACAGGCCCGCCGTTTCAACTTGTCAATTTCGACAAGTTTTCCAAACTAAGATAATCACATTTGCCTACATTTAGCCCATATCCATCTAAACATTTCCTATTCATGTCCAAATGTATTTTAAATGTTGTAACTCACTCGCTGATTCTAATAACATCAATAAACTCCATTTGTATAGCACCTCCTAATGCAACAAATTGTCTGAAGGTGCTACGCAGGACAAAGTCAGGGCACAAAGCCACTTACGGCTGATGTAGGTCGGGCACATTGGCTGACTTTTCTCCCATCCTTATTTCCAAGGGTTGGGCCATGGACTTCCATTGGATTGATGCATGCTTATGGGTGAAGCATCCCAGGATGAGTCTCGAACCTGGAGTAACTGGCTGAGAGGTAGTGATGCCAGCGCTGCAGCACAAGAGCCCCTCTCTCTGTTAAAGCCGATCATGACCAAAAATCTTAGCTGGAGAGGCAGGTTTTCAGGAGTGTTTTTAAAAGAGGAGAGTGAGGTTTGAGGGGGCAAATGGTTTTGGGAGAGAATACCAGGGAGCTGAAAGCGAGGCAGCCACTCATAGAGAAATTAAAATCAAGAGTCAACTTAGAGGAACCCATACCTTCGAGGGCTGAAGGAGGCTATAGAGATGGGGAGAGGCAGGAGATTTGAAAACCAGGTTGAGAATTTTGAAATAGAGACATTACTTCACCAGGAGCCAATGTAGGTTAGTGAGTACATGATTAATAGGTAAATCAGACTTTGGTCATCCACAACTCTGCTGATGCTCTTAAGTTTTGGGACTTGGGAGACCAGCCTGGATTGCATTGGAATTGTTATGGCTCATGGTAACTGAAATAACTCCACAGAGGCTGGTATCCCATCACCAAGTCACCGTTTATTTACTTGTGGAGAGTCTTCGACACTGATCCAGCTCGGAGTGGACAGGATGTCTGACACAACAAGGTGCAGGGCTGGATGGACACAGCAGGCCAAGCAGCATCATAGGAGCAGAGAGGCTGATGTTTCGGGCCTAGACCCTTCACCTGACACTCCTGTTTATGTCTGTCAGCCAGGGCTCCCTGATTGGGACTGTTAACCTGGTCCAATCAGGGAACGCATATTCTATGAGGTCCAGCTGGCTGACCTTGTCACAATCACTTACAGAAACAAGGCTGTGAATGAGGATATCAGCTGTAACTGGGCTTCAGCAGGAGCCAATGTTATGGAGGTAGAAGAAGGCAGTTTTAATGATGGAACAGTTAAGGAAATTTCAGCTCATCAGCTTGATGGAGTGCTGAGCAAGGGAAGGAACCTGCAAGCACGTATGTCCTATCCTGGCATATTTTGCAACCAATTAATTACTTCTTAAGCTCAGTCATTGATGCCATGTGGGAAGGTGTGCAAAGTGTCTGCTGCAAAGTGTAGATTTGTGAATAGTAAGCGAGAGGTGTGGTTCTTGCTCAACAAGTGTTGTTAAGTGATGAGTTTTAGTTTGGATGTCTGGAGCACACCATTCATTTCTTTCGACTGTGTCATGGGATCTTTCACCTCCGCTGCTATCCACTCTCCCTCAATCTCTGTTAATACCTCACCTGAAGGTTCTCCACCCCCCACTTCTTTTCAGTGTTACATTAGATGAACATGATGTTGCAGTAGGCTGTGGGGGTGGGGGGTAGTTGTTGGTGTGGGGAGGAGGTGGAGGTGTAAATCATTAACCTGCTGACTTGCAGGCCAGACTGAGTCAAAAGATAAGAAACCAATGCTGGTCTAAAATTGTTCAACTTCTAGCAGAGCTCCAAGTCGAGATTTTTATTATTGACCTGGCTGAGAAAGCAGCCTTCAGTCCAAGATTGAACCCGTGAAAATGCATGCATTTTCATAGAAGTCATAAAAGTCGTGGTGTATTTGTCTCCTGTTTCTGCATTATTGCTCCTTTCCAGGTTCCTACCCTGTACAGAATCATTTTTTCTTCTTTGATGGAGTCTTATTTCTTACCACTTTTGTCCTCCATTGCTTTGTCTTCCTTGACCGCATTCAATTCATCTGCACTTTACTTGGTATTTTTTTAAAAGCATGATTTTCTGTGTTTTTTTTTAACTTCCTTTTTCACTGCACTTCTTTCCCATGGAACTCACCTATGGGCTATTCCTTCTCTGTGACTCTATGCTTGCCCACTGGCTTCTGAG